TCAAATGCAAAACTAATACAACAGCACAATCCAGAAAAATGTGTTGACGAACACTCAAAATCTCGTTTGAATTCGACTCAAAATAGATATTTCGCATCGTTATGAAATTCAGAACACAAAAACTGCACTGTTCTTCATGCAGCAACAGTAAGAGCTGTCAATTCGATTCTAACGGATTCGATCGCCACAGTCACACTTCAATTTGTTATGAAAATATTCTTGCTCCAGCACACACACACACACAAGAATGAAACGAACGAAGCGAAGAAGCATAGAGAGAGAGAATACACGAGAGCAACAGTACACATAGCTATGTTAGTTGAATGTTCTTTCTGTATGCGGTTCATTCTCACATTCTTTCTTTCGCGTTTGTATATCTTCTGTACGGTCTGTATAGAGTGGAGCGAGCATAATGTGAACCGTCCGTTATTTGTTACATTTTGAATGATATGCATTGCGTTAAAATATTTCATTGGAAGTTGTCATTTTATTGGGAACCATGCACATAATCCACGTTTAATATAACACTGAAATTACCACGAAAATGGGCCAAAACGTTACATTACGCGATGGTGAAATCTACTAAAAATGGTTACATTTTTGTTCCTTGGGATATTACTGTAGATTCGTGTTATTTGGACACGCATTTAATTGTTTCGCTAAACCAAATTCATCTACAGGTTTTCAGACGATAAAATGACCAAAATCATTTTTTGGCTCCAAAATATAAGACTTTGGTCATTTAGAGTGCGATAAGACTTGAACCGAGAAGAAAAAGAACAAAAATCGAGACAGAATTTATTGATGCTAATTGACATTGAGCTTGGCAATTTTTTGTGCTTGCAATTCATTCTAGTTGACAGTTTTGGCGGAATCAACAAATCCAAATTCAAACTCACATTTCAAGAATATAACTGGTACTGGTACTGGTACTGGTTACTTTAGACGTGCATAAAACAAAACAATGATAAGTGAGGGAAAAAAGTCGTGCAAAATCATTTCTGAAGTCAAAAGCGTCAATCCAAATAACGCAATACCAAAGCTGAGGTATATTTCGCCTCTAAAATCCAAAGGTATTTGTTTACTATATGAGTAGTTTGGAGCGAAAATGTTATACAGAAAAGTTGAGTGGAAAAATGTCGATGATGAATGAGAGGAAAAGGGATAGCTGTATAGTAAACTATAGTATATAGTGAACTATATAGCTATCATTTTTCATTTGACATTTTTCCTCTCAACTATTCTGTATAACATTTTTGCTCCAAACTACTCATATAGATCTTGTTTGCGTAATTTCAAACACGCAATCAGTTCGATTCATTGATCCAGCAACAGTTCAATCAAGCAACGTCATCCATTTCAAGCATCAAATAACCTGCGTCAACAAATTTTGTTTATCATCAAAAACTTTCCGGCTAGACCGATTTTATGTCAACGAAATGATCGTTCAAATTCCGTTAATTTAACGTTAAATTCTGTATTTCATGTGAGGTAATTGAGATACGATGCAATAACAAAATTTTCGCTTCTGCATTAATGCAACTACAAGGAAACATTTATATGGTGTTAAAATGAATATTAACCAGTTTCTCTTAACCCTGCATACAACCGCCTTTAGGCTACATTCTTGCTCTACGCTACGCGTAGAGTCTGTTAGAATCAGCGAAGAGGACTCATTTAGGTCTAGTTTTTTTATTGTATAACAAACTATAATTTAGGCGTTACATGAAATGCACTGAATGGAATAGATAGATATCATACACAGTACAATAAAGTTCAGGTAACCAAATATTAGCAAAACTTCTGTATTAAATTCAATGCAACCACACTAAACAATACACTCCAAACTACATCATAATGTAATAATAATGTATGGAAATGAAAATTCAAGTATCGTATTGGCAATAACATTTAAATCCAAATTTGTAGTTAGTCACAGATAATAATTAAACATAAAAACAGAATCTGTTTTTGAATTAAAAAATCCAAAGTTCAAACCCCGAGGGAGGAAAAAAAACGGAGTTAGTACCTTTTACATTTAATATACATTGTACAATGTACGTTTCATGTAACGGAAATAAAAAATTGATAGTATTCCTTGAAAACATCGACATTCATTCCTTATTTTAGTATTTTTTTATGGTTCCTCTTGAATGTTGTTTGTTGAATTTTTTTTATTTCATTCCTCTTGAATGACACGGCGGTCACTTGAATTTTTAATTGCCATTTAATGCACTTCGTTTGACGGTATTATTGTTCTCGATAAGTACTTGCGAAATTATCAATAAACGGAGGATACTTAAACCAAAATATATAAATTCTGGTGCTCTTTGGAGAATTAGTTCAGTTTGTATGGAGCGTAATAAGGCGTCAAGTTATTGTTTGATATCAGTGTGTGAAAAAATGTGGATTTTAAGTGAAAGTTGGGCATTCAATGGATTGGTCTTTCTAATTGGGCTGCTAACACTGCTTTTTTTGTTTGTACACCGGAAGTATACATATTGGGAGAGAAAAGGGTTCAAAACATTCCCAGGCTATAGTTATTTATTTGGTCACTTCAAAGAAACCTTGATGCAGAAAGAGTTTGCCGGTGATTTTGTGACGAGACTATATAACAGCACGAACTTATAAAAAAAAAATGATTCATTGGGATTTACAGTATTCTACGTCCGATTTTGCTAGTACGCGATTTAGACCTTGTTCGATCGATTTTAATCAAGGATTTCAACTATTTCACGGATCGCGACGTTCACTGTAATGCGAACTATGATCCATTGTCTTCCCATTTATTCACATTACCCGGTGGAACGTGGAAAAATCTACGTTCAAAGCTATCTCCTGCTTTCTCTTCGGGCAAGCTCAAAGCAATATTTCCAACGCTACTTGATTGTGGTTCAACGCTGCAAAATCATTTGAACCAATTTGCTAACAAAGATGAATTGCTCGATGCGCGAGATGTGGCGGCGCGCCACACTACAAATGTGATTGCCTCTGTTGGCTTTGGAATCGATGTCGACACAATAACGGATCCGAATAATGACTTCCGCGTATATGGATTTCAGATTTTTCAGCCAAGCTTCCAAAATGCTATTCGTTACTTTTTCTTTTTCATCGCACCAAAATTGATGTCCGTTTTTCGCATCAAAATCGTTAATAACAAAGTGGAAAAGTTCTTCCGATCGATTTCCAGGCAGAATCTAGAATATCGAGAAAAGAATAATGTTGTCCGCAAAGATATCTTCCAACTGCTGATTCAGCTTCGAAACACTGGCACCGTTCAGTTGGATAATCAATGGGAAACGGTTATCAAAGCTGATGAAAGCCAAAAGACCATGACATTTGACGAAATTGCCGCACAAACGTATCTCTTCTTCGCAGCTGGTTATGAAACGTCATCGACCGCACTTTCATTCTGTTTGTATGAATTATGTAAAAATCCCGACATTCAACAGCGTGTCCACAATGAAATTGACCGTGTTTTAGCAGAGCATGACGGCAAAATAACTTTTGAATCGGTTGCCGATATGAAGTATTTGGAGTCTTGTTTCGATGGTGAGCCGTGTACTTTTTTATCTTTATTCTCTCATTGTTGAATTGCAATTATTTTGTTCGCTTCAAATCTTTGAGATTTGGTAAAATTGACCTAAAATCCATTTTTTCCCCTATTTATTATTATTCAATTGCAGAAACTTTAAGGAAATTTCCAAACTTACCGGTATTGAATCGAATGTGTGTCAAAGAATATCAAATCCCAGGTACGGATAAAATCATTGAAAAAGGAACAGCAATATTCATTCCTGTGATGGCATTGCATAAAGATCAGAAATATTACGAAAACCCAGAAAAGTTCATTCCCGAGCGTTTCAATGAAGAAAATTCAGCCGGAAAAAATATAGTGAATAGACCCTATTTAGCTTTTGGAGACGGACCAAAGAATTGTATCGCAGCGAGACTAGGCAAATTACAAACGAAAGTCGGACTGGTGATGATGTTGCAGAAATTCCAATTCGAATTGGGCGATCAACATAAAAACAGTGACATCAAATGCGATCCAAAAGGGTTTTTAACCGCTCCGCTCGGTGGGATTCATTTGAGAGTTTTCACACGCTAATATTGTACGAATTTCTAGAACAATACAAATAAGAAAACCAATTTCAAAATGTGTTATTTTGTTTTTTTACATTCATTTCAAGCGTCAAATAACCTGCATCAACAAATTTTGTTTATCATCAAAAACTTTCCGGCTTCAAATTCCGTTAATTTAACGTTAAATTCTGCATTTCATGTGATGTAATTGAGATAAGATGCAATGACAAAATTTTCGCTTCTGCATTAATGCAACTACAAGGAAACATTTATATGGTGTTAAAATGAATGTTAACCCGTTTATCTTAACCTTCTAGTGCATACAACCGACTTTAGGCGGGCAACATTTGAACACCTGTAACGCAAGCCTCACGTAGCATCACATTGGTTCAAAAGCATTTTAATTCCGCCAGTTGTCCTCTATATTTTTGTCTTTTGCACTATTAGTCTACATCAAATGGTTGTTGAGTTATGAACAAAAATGTGAGCGATTTCGAAAATTTGGCAAAAATAAACACTTTCTTCCAAAAACAGACACATTTTTGACACTTTCAAACAATGGATTTGATTGTTCTTTTATTTATGTCTATCGCATTATCTAGATCAATCATGGAACATCCAATATTTCGAATAATTTTTTCGCGTTTCACCGATGCAAGGCAATCAAATGGGTAATCAAATGATGGGTAGTCCAAACTATGGTTTACAAACGTTTCGACAAATACCGCAAACGGTGTTATAAAAACGTTATTTTTTTGTAGTGTTTTTTTTTTGACAGACCAAAATACCGCAGAAATTACGATAAAAAACGAAAAAAACGTTTTTTGGGCGTTATATAACGGCTCTGTAAAAAAACGTTTTTAGGAAACACTGAAGAAATAACGCGTTTTTAAACCCTAGTCCAAACACAATGGCTTCGATGAATACCATGAATAACAGCGGAATGATCGGATTGAATCCAATGATGGGCAACGCAAACCAAATGCACCAGCAACAAATGAACCCGGGCAACATGATGAGCACCGGAATGAATAACCCGATGGGTGGAAATAATCCAATGAATCCAGGCAATATGATGAATGTAAATAATCAAATGGGCGGTACCATGAACAACATGAATCCACCCAATGGTTAACCCAATGACAAGCATGGCCCTCGTAATTGTGTTGGAATGCGGTTGGGCAAAATGCAAATGAAAGTTGGTTTGGTTATGATGTTGCAGAAATTCCAATACAAAAGTAAAGAAATAGAACTTGATCCAAAAAATTTCCTAATTCCACCACTTGGCGGTATTCATTTACGTATTTTTAAGCGATAAAATGAGTAAAAATAAAAAATCATCATTATTTTCTTGACATTAAGATTAAAAGTGGCTATCAACGAAAACATGAAAATAAACAGAAAAAAAATCGGGTCATTTTGACTTACCACTTCAAAATTAATTTGAATAGCTTTGCTTGGTGACAAAACAATTGATAAAAATCTATTTTTGTAGCTTCACTTCTGGCTTTGTTCAAGTTCACTTTTTCGTTGTAAACAATAAATTGTGAGGTTTTCTACAAAATGAGCAATTGTAAATTAAGTTTATTTGAAATTTTTACAACAATTTTTGACTTCATTATTATGTATCGAATACAGGGCAAATGAATAATTTACAATGAATTGCTTTACAATTTACTCTTTCCTTTTTTTATATCAACATGCAATAATACTCTCTAGGATGGAATCATTCCACGGTTGCGTTTGAAAGCCGCTCCTTGTCTCCGGTTGTGATTGGCTCGACTCGATTTATTCTCATTTTTCCGCTGACGATTGACCAGTGTACTCTTATCTTGACCTTGCCCCTTTGGATTGCCTACGACATTTCTGTTGCAATGAGACAAGAAACCAATTTAGTAAATCGTTCAATTTTTCCATCTTAAATGCGAAGAATAAATTGTCTTACCCCTGTGGTCTTGATGGTGGTGCTCGTTTATTTCCATATTTAGCTTCTCTATTACGTGCCCATCTCTCACGCGCCGCTTCTGGATTTTCACAGAAATCTCGGCTCTTATCACGTTGCTCTCCAGATACCATTTTTTTATCGTCCGATTCCGACTCTTCGCTGTCTTCAACCTCATCAACCAGTTCATTGATTGCGCCGGTATTTTTGAGAATTTTCATTGTTTTCGACTCGCTCTCAACCATCGCATCGTAACTATCATCATATTCATCGTCATATTCATCCGGCATATCCACATAACCATGTTCGATATTCCTCGCGTGAAACTCCTTGATCGCACTTTTGTCATCTAAGAATCGCTTCTCGGCTTTTGGCCAAACTACTTGCGATTTTATTTTTACAATTTCGCGGACGGTCGTACCCAATTTATGATTTTCCATCAATTCGGTGACTTGTTTGATCGGCTCATCGACTTTTTTCTCCGTTGTTGGCGAATCCAAATGGATGGTATCATCTAAGTCAGGTGGTAAATTCCCTTCAAAAACAGCTGCTATCGCCGATTCAGTATTGTCATAACGACTCAACAGCTTTCGAACAAATGGCACTTCTAAATGCGGCAATACATCCAACACATTTTGAATATCTATTTTGCTAGGCCCCACTGACTTTGAGCTTGACGATCCTGAAGCTGACGAAGAACCCGCTACACCATATGAACTAGACGCACCACCAACAACAGCAGCAGCATCTTTTTCTGATTTGATCACAGCCGCTTTAACAGACGTATAGCCTTGCACAACGAAATCGATTTTCATTTTGTCACTAGAATAAACAAAAGCAAATGGTTTTATTCCAATTTCATGTTCATAACCACTTTGATCACTTCTCTTCAATTAATTTTAATAGTTAACTAACATTTTCGGAACGGATTGTATCAAAATGTCGACATCATCGGCCACTGGATGCAATCGTTGATAGTCCGATACGAAATTTGGATCGGCCAAAGCCATTTGAAGCATGTTCACCAATTCATCAGCTGCTGATTGTTTTTTGATCTTTGCACTAAAAGGAACATCATAAAAATGGAATGGGTAAATAAATATTTAATCAGATAAGAAGCAAAATGAAATTGCTGAAAGGTAATCATGTTGAGGAAATGAATCAAGAAAAATATCAACAATAAAATCATCTCACTATGCACTGCTCAAAAATTAGATTGAAAATACTCACTGCTCTTGCAGCACCGCCTGTAAGCATTTGTCGACAAAGGAGCGGAAAAATTTGATCAAAAGTAATCTAGAACGATTGAGTTCCGTAAGCAATGCAGGATTGATGTAAGTGATATTTTTGTGGAGGAATGGAATTGCTTCGTCATAGAAACGTGTGACTTTTTGTTCGAGTTGAACTTCACGGCAAATATCGACAGCGTCGGGCAGAATAACGATGAATGTGTGTATCGTATAGGTGCAATCAAGAATGTACATCACCAAATCTTCATAATTATCAGGATTGTTTTCATTCACCTTCTCTTGAATGGTGTTGAACGTTGTGGCGAGAAAATTAAGGCCTTCTTTCAAATCGTTTCGGTATTTCGGTTGAATTTTCAGTACCGTCTCAAGTAATCGACGCACGATTTGTGTATTTTCCGTTCCATAAACGACCAACAAGTCAAAAATCATTGGCACTGTTATCAAATACTTGTCGTACAATATATCGGCCAACTGCTCTTTTGTCATCCACTCGGTCTATGGCGAAACCAGAAGAAAATACAATTTTTCATATTTTGATTATTTATATGTTGAGTAATAAACCATATAAGGCATTCAATCGCAATATTTTATACTGAAAATAATGTTCGATATTCCACTTCCAGGTGCAAATCTCTTTTTTCGTTCAAAGAAAAATGTGAGCCTAACGTAGCTTAACAGATTTGTATAAATCAACCGAAAAAAAACGGCTGGTGAACAATAAATAAATACTTGCCTCGGACTCTTTGTTCGTGATCATGCGGCAAAGAACGATGAGCGTGTTGTTTGCAATGTTTGTGTACAAATCGATGATCTGCTGATTTGTTGTGAGTGATGTAATGGGTATGTATGCCGGTACCGCTTCTTGCAGAAATGATACAATAGTTGCAATGTAATCGGGTTCAAACACCAGATTTGACCAGAACCTAAAAAGGTGATTTAAAGGTATATCATCAGCGACTCGTGCGTATTAAATGAATGGAGAAAAAAATGTCTATCATCAAGCATTTCCTCCCCAGACGAAGACAGAATGAATTTTTAACATATTATTAATGTTGAACTATGCGTTTTGAATTCCAATCATTTTTGAATACTCATCGTGATCCGTTCAAACAGTCAGTCAGTTCCAAAAATGAATTTCCGATCAGTCATCATCGGCCATGACATTAACGTCTGTGGCAAAAACATTTTCCATTTCACGTGTAGATAGACAGTAAAGCAGTTACATTATTCATCGATTTTGACCCAATACAATCAAAACCAAATCAGCACAAAAACAAGAAAGTTCACCTCGCTTCACTCGGTGATCATTCTCGCTCTACGCTACGCGTAACAAACTATAATTTAGGCGTTACATGAAATGCACTGGATGGAATAGAGAGATAGCATACACAGTACAATAAAGTTCAGGTCACCAAATACTAGCAAAACTTCTGTATTAAATTCAGTGCAACCACACTAACCAATACACTTCAGACTACATCATAATGTAATAATAATGTATGGAAATGAACATTTTCAAGTATCGCATTGGTAATAATGTTTTAATCTAGATTTGTAGTTAGTAACAGATAATAATTAAACATAAAAACAGGATCTGTTTTGGAATTGAAAAATCTAAAGTTTAAACTCCGAGGAAGAAAAAAAAACGGAGTTGGTACCTTTTACATTTGATGTACATTGTACAATGTACGTTTCATGTAACGGTAATAAACAATTGATAGTATTCCTTGAAAACATCGACATTCATTCCTTATTTTTAGTATTTTTTTCAGCAAGTTTTGTTTTTGAGTTGGTTGCGATGACTGTGTACGCAACCGTTTGCGTGCGAGAAAAGTGTGTGCGGCAGCTGTTTGTGTGCGATATGCTGGTATATTATACTGAGCCTTAAATATACTGCGTGCTAAGGTATGCTATCACGAAGCCTTGATTTTTTTTATGGTTCCTCTTGAATTTTGTTTGTTGAATTCCTCTTGAATGACACGGCGGTCACTTGAATTTCCAATTGTCATTTAATGCACTTCGTTAGACGGTATTATTGTACTCGATAAGTACTTGCGACATTATCAATAAACAGAGGATAATTGAAGCTTCACCAAATTGCATGTTACGTTGTGCTGATTTCGCATTATCAATGGTGCTGAGTCATGGTCTTTAGGCAATTAGTCGTTTATCATACAGGTGCACTTGATAAATATTATCGATACATCTTGTTTTGATTCTTAATTGACATGCCATCACAAAGTTAATCGCGTGTTATTACTTTTGAAGATGTGAATAAAACAACAGACATGAACAATATAAATATGGGGTACTCGCAATCGATGGTTTTCATTCGATTAAGGAATTGTCATCAGTGCGCATTAAAAGTTTAGTCGCAAGAAATAAGTAGAAAGTGTATTCAGATTTACATAGTGGAAAATGGCATTGTTAACAGATAGTTGGAGAATCCATACCTTAGCACTTTTGATTGGATTCGTTACGTTGGTTTATTTCTATGCCAGACGAACGTATTCGTATTGGGAGAGAAAAGGCTTCGCCTATTTACCGGATTTTAACTATGTCTTTGGACATTTTAAGCCGACATTTTCACAGCAAGAGAGCATGGGAATGCTCGTGTCGCGAATTTACAACTCAACCAAAGAGCCATTCATTGGAATATACAGTATTTTCCGACCGATATTGATAATATGCGATACGGAGCTCATCCGAACCATTTTAATCAAGGATTTTAATTATTTCACGGATCGTGGTGTGCATTGCAATGAAAATTATGACCCGTTATCTGGACATCTATTTGCCTTGCCAGGTCAAAAGTGGAAGAATCTACGGGGAAAATTGTCTCCTACATTTACCTCAGGTATATATGCGATAAGAGTTTGGTGTGTTATTGTTTCAGAATAAGAAAAATATTTATCTTTTTCGCATGCGTTATAAAATTCAAAAAAGGCAAGCTCAAAGCAATGTTTTCCACGTTGGTTGATTGCGGTGCCACATTACAGAGTCATTTAGATAAATTGGCGAACAAAAATGAATTGCTTGATGTTCGAGAGATCTCAGCCGCCCATGCAACCAATGTCATTGCCTCCGTTGCGTTTGGAATCGAAGCAGACACAATTAAAAATCCAAACAATGACTTCCGTGTTTGTGGACGAACCATCTTTGAATCGAGCATAATGAATGGAATTCGATTGTCGCTAAATTTTATCGCTCCGAAAATGATGTCAATTCTACGCATCAAAGTTGTGGACGGAAGTGTCGAAAAATTCATAATGTCGGTGGTGAAAGACACTCTGCAATATCGTGAACAAAACAATGTCAGTCGCAAGGATTTCTTCCAACTTCTTATACAGTTGAGAAACACCGGCACCGTGCAGTTGGACGATCAATGGGAGACGGTAATCAAAGCTGACGAAAAGCAAAAGACATTGAGCTTAAATGAGATTGCAGCCCAATCATTTGTCTTTTTCGCAGCTGGATTTGAAACTTCATCAACTACGTTAACATTTTGTATGTATGAATTGGCCAAACATCCAGAGATTCAGAAGCGAGTGCACGAGGAGATTGACAGCGTTTTAGGTCAACACAACGGCAAAATTACTTATGACTCCGTGACTGAAATGAGATACCTGGAGGCCTGTATTGATGGTAGAAATTAGTTTTTCACAAGAAACACTTGATTTTGAATTAAAAAATATTTTTCTTTCACAGAAATACTCCGCAAATATCCGATAGTCCCACTACTAAATCGTACGTGTACTAAAGATTACAAAATCCCGGGCACCGACAAGGTGATCGAAAAGGGTACCGCGGTGTTTATTCCCGTGTACGCACTGCAAATGGACAAGAACTATTACGAGCAACCAAACCAGTTCAAACCAGAACGATTCCTTGAAGAAGGCTCGGCTGCAAAGAATCTAGTGAATAAACCATACCTCCCCTTTGGCGATGGACCGCGAAATTGCATAGGTGAGTAATGAAAATGGTTACGAGTAATTAAATTTCGACAATTTTTTTTGATGAAATATCGTTTTTTTTCAGGCATGCGATTGGGCAAAATGCAAACAAAAGTCGGATTGATTTTGATGTTGCAGAAATTTCAATATGAATTGGAGCCCAAACTTATAAACCGCGAAATGGAGTTCGATCCAAAGCTATTTTTGCTTTCTTCACGTGTCGGCATTAATTTGCGCATTTTCAAGCGATAAAAATACAATTTTCTATATGTTCTTTCCTATCTAATAGTGTAGACCTTCGCAGTTGTAATATTTGTCGATAAGAATCAAACAAATCAGAAGTGAATCTTTTGGTATCGTGTGAAATCAATTATGTGCACTAGATATAAAATAGATAAGGTACAAACAAATAGCATTGGAGAGTTTCAGTCAAATACGTATGAGTAATGTCAGTCTTGGTGCAAAAGCTAAAAATGTTCCAAAGTTTCAATTTCAATTGTAAAAAATATCGAGCCTCACCGATAATGTTCCATTTCGAGCAACGACTCCAGTGTGTTGTTCAACCTGTGTGTGATGCACCATAAATAGAATGATAAATTAAACATTATTTCTTTTTCATACCAGAAAATGCCACATTCAAAGATATTGAATTTTTTTACCATTTTGCAATTTTAATCCATTTGTCCATGAATTCTTCATCCATGCATTTGCTTTTCAACGGCAAATACTTGATGTGTCTCTGTTCATCAACCCATTTTTTGCCCTGTGAGACAATATCAATGAGAATGTTAGGTGACGAAAAAAAAATCACATCATTAGAATAATTGTTTACTCACAAGTGCTGGAACAACCAATTTCACACCGTTGTCTTTCACGTGGAACTGAAGGTCGGGCAATGCCAATTTCTGTGGATTCTGTTTCGAATCAAACCAAATTAAATGCAACATACATTTTATATGACGTTCCCATTAACCAATGTGTTGTAATTCATTTTTTTTACCTCAAAATCGATATCGAATGGCATTTTATATGGAAAAATAACCTAAAATTTTTAATTTCAACAACCAATTTAATGTGCAATATAAAAACCAATCTAAAAAAATTAATTTGATTGAAAAAATGCTGTTAAAATCGTATTTTCACCACTAAAACTGTGCAAAACTTTGCGATAGAAACAAATGAAAGCCGCATCAGCAGTTTTGACACTTGCAGTGAACTGTCAAAAACGATTTCATTGACACGTAAATGTCAACGCATTTTGCATTGATACAGCAAATTGTTGAACGCGCACTTTGGATTTGTTTGGACGCGAATGAAAAACTAAACCAACGCATAAATTACAAACGATATTTAATGCGTAAATAACATCGAATTTTGGACGAAAATATTTGAACTGTTGTTGTTAATCGCTTTAATATCGTGATAAATTTCGTGTAAAATTTCTGGAGCATTTGTTTGAAGAAAAAAAAAATTAAGATTTTTTTTTCGATAGTTGTATTTTTTGTGTATGTTTATCTCAAAAGCGATTGGAAAAAATGCCGGTGCCAGAGGTAAGAGAGTTTATAATGAGATTATGGGTCATTTGCTTCATTTGGATCATTATTCATATGACTGATGTGGAATATTTGTTTTTTTTTTTCTCAGGAAAATCGAACCCAACATACAAACGAAATGAACGGTTTCAATGCGGACGTCAACAAAACCTGGGTATACTCACTGCTTGTGAACTTGTCAAAGATGTGTAAGTCGTTCAATTTTCACGCAGTATTTCTCTCTGTTGTTTTTTTTTCTCTAAAACTATCATAAACTGAAGATAATATTCGACACTGTGATTGAAGGAGAAATATTTGATTCCAGGGCGCACTGGTACGAGTTCATTCGATTTGACCTTGGAACAGTATGGAGTGTATGAAATCATTGACTGGATCGTCCAACATTTGTCGAGACATCCATTCCTAGCATTTGGAATGTCGATGTGCGTGCTATCATGTGCCCTGCCGTTTATTATTTTCATGATTTTCGCCATTGCAACTGTAATCATGACGTTCACCAGTTTCGTCATCATTGAAGGTTAGTGACGTGATTTGATGGTCGTTCACTTTTTTTTCGCAGCAGGCGTTTTTACTTTTATCGCATGTCAATGTATTTTGACCAACTGATTAAATTTTTTACGGTTTTCTTCATCTGGTTTTCTGAACAGGAACGTTAATCACAATGGCGTCGGCATTGCTGTTTGGATTCCTCGGTGCAGTCATTTTATTCTTCTTCTTCTTCGGTTTTGTGATGATGGCTGGGTACTTTGGATTGGTGCAGATTTACGAATTGCTTGACTATCCTAATAAGCGTCGTGCTGTTGTCAACTACTTTCGTGGCGAAACACCAAGCCAAGCCGCTGAGAAAAAGAGAGATTAAATTGAACTGAACTGAACTGAAGCCCAAAGAACTGATTCAAACTGAATTCCAGTGAAAAAAATTTGAAATTAGAAATAATGAAATACTATGATGAAATCCCAAAGAACTACATGCACATATTTCGGTCTCAAAAAGTAGTGTTTATTGAAATGTTAAATGAAATTCTCTCTAATATATTGTAATTATCTCGTGCTCTATCATCCAATAATTAAGTCTTTTATTTACATTTTAAAGATGTGGTATTTTCTTTTTGTATTGAAATCAATTAAGGTTGCACCGAACGAACATTCAAAGAAATAATTTGATGTGAAAATTTCGACACCTTTTTTGAATAGAACGAATGGAGAAACTTTCTCGGAATTAGGGCATTTGTCGTTGGTGTCAAAAATTTGCACCGAATTGGGTAAGCATTTTAATTTAAATGATATAGCAAATTTCATCATCAATTTGGCTGAGACACATACAGAATTATGGATCTAGCCAAATTCTCTCTGTTTTTAATCTCATTCCTCGTTTCTCTAAAACTTAATGTTGCTTCTATATATTCAAATTCCATATTCATATCGTCTTAAATTCAAATTTTCGATTCATATTAAAATTTATTATCTAAAACTGCGTTGAATTTGGCAATGCGATCTTCAATGATTGCCTCTTTTTCGACCACAGATTCACGTATTCGCAATCGAAGCTTCTGTAGGTCGGGTAGCGCGTTGTAATCACGTACGTTGATCAGTGTGTAGAGCACATGTTCCCACAGTGCCACATCTACATAAGACGGCAACTGCTCGGATAGCACGTATGGACGAATGAGGCTATCGTGTTTCTTGATATTCATATATTTGCCACAGACCAAAGTGTACATTGTGCTCGCCAGGCAAAACAGGTCAACTTGATGTTTCCATGGTCGATTCTCCAGCATTTCGGTGCAAATGAAGTTCCTTGTGTTCAAGGTCGATGTGAATGTTTGATTCGGCGGGAAGAAGTTCAAATCAATCGAACGTCCGTAGTCAATCAATTTGATGACCAGATCATTGCTTCCGTACGACAGTCTAAATGGGATGAAAAAAGTGTGTAAATTTCGATTGCAATTACCAAATATTGTAGGTCATTCAATAGATAAACCGTGCAACACATGTTTCTGCACATGAGAAATTCCGAATGCTTGTTTTATAGGACCAAAAAGATTGATTTTTAGACACGTCTAGATTTTTTTTATCGACACATATAAGACAAATTTCAGGCCAAAATGAGCAAATCACAAAGTGAGCTTCGGTTTGACAGGTAAAAGCCAATAATTTCTACCTTTTCTGCCTTTAAACATCTAGTATGATCCTTTACGAACAGTTTGGATACTTACATGACCAAATCGAGTGATGTTTTCACATATTTCTGGCCGCATATTCGGTTGGTTCGATTTCAACTCTAAAAGAGTCGCGACTTTTGGCCAAAAATCCTTAAATATATGCTTTTCAGGGATGGTATCTTGGCACAAAGTTAATTTTTCTCGAAAATATGGGGAGTCTACCCAGACAAAAACTCTCAAAATTGACTTTTTGAGGTACCTCCCGAACAAAAGTTACGTTTTTCATGCATTTTGCTATGAAAATATTATTTTTCGTTCGGGAGGTACCCCAAAAATACACTATTTGGATGAGTTTCTTAAAAACAAATTATTTTTTTCGAGAAATATTGGGAATCTTCTCACACAGAATCTCTTATAAATGATTTTTGGGGTACCTCCCGAACGAAAAATGATATTTTCATAGCAAAATGCATGAAAAACGTAACTTTTGTTCGGGAGGTACCTCAAAAAGTCAATTTTGAGAGTTTTTGTCTGTATAGACTCCCCATATTTTCGAGAAAAAATAACTTTGCGCCAAGATACCATCCCTGAAAAGCCTATATTTAAGGATTTTTGGCCAAAAGTTGATTCTTTTAGAGTTGAAATCGAACCAACCGAATATGCAGCCAGAAATATGTGAAAACATTACTCGATTTGGTCATGTAAGTACCCAAACTGTTCGTAAAGGATCATACTAGATGTTTAAAGGCAGAAAAGGTAGAAATTATTGGCTTTTACCTGTCAAACCGAAGCTCAGTTCGTAATTTGCTCATTTTGGCCTGAAATTTGTCTTATATGTGTCGATAAAAAAAAATCTAGACGTGGTTTCGAACAAACTAATGATGCAAAAGTGCTTGGTTTTTGGTCCTCTAAAACAAGCATTCGGAATTTCTCATGTGCAGAAAAAAAAGTTGAAATTTGTTACACGGTGATAGCATTGAGTCAATACTCACCTTCTCATGAGCAAAAAGTTGTCCGGTTTGATGTCACCGTGAATGATGTTCGAAGCATGCAAATGATCGAGAATCGAGAGCATCTGTTCGGAAAAGATCATTACAATGACCTCATCCAAATTGCGACAAGTGTTTGATTTATGATGATTGCAAACGTTGAACAATGAACCATATTCGCAGAATTCGGAGGCGAAAATGCTTGAATTATGACCGACCATTGCGTATTCCACCGACATGAATCCAGCCACCTGAACACACAAGAATCATTCATATTATTTCGATTCAAGCAATCGTTTTGAATGAGCAGAATAAAACGATTGCAATTCTTACCATTTTCGGGTCTTCAATTCGACTGGCTATCTCCAGTGATATGTAAAATTCCCAGTGGTTCGCCGGCCGCTCTTGTTTGAATGCATACATTTGTCCGGTTTTTGAATTTTTACCACTGAAATAAAAGTCCCCATTATCACTGTTTCCATTTGTTAATTTCCATATTCAATGCCATCCAATTACCTGTACACAAATCCAAAGCTTCCTTTCCCAATTTGCTTAACAATGTCGAATGTTTCGTTGCCAATTTCCAATTGTGTGTTCAATTCGATGGCTCCGACTCTAGTCGTAATGTGAACATATTGCAGGCTTCGGATGTATTCAATAAAATCGATATCGTCCAAAAAGGCATTTTGCAAATGAGTATCAAACGGATCAATGTCTTTGACCGCGCTGATTGTTTCATTCAGCTTGGGATTGGTTGCATAACGATTTTTGAATGGGCTGTGCACCGTTTCGCGGCGTGTTCGATTGGCTGCTGATTTGCATACGGCTGACAAATCTTCGGTGTCTTCAACGACAATCAGAGAGGCGTCTTCTGGTTTTTCGATGACAATTTCTACCTTCGGCGGACTCAGTTGAAACTCTTTCAATGATTTTTCGATGGTTTGAACTTCATCTTTGGCGAATGTATCATCGAATTTGGTGTCATTTACCGTTCGATTCATTGGAAATTGACTCGGACGAATCGAAACTGGATTACCTATCAGAAAACCCGGACCTGGCTTCGGCACAAACGCCGCCTTTGATCCAAGCTCTTGCATTTCGGCTTCGGTCAATTCAATGCTGAGATCAAGAAAACCATTTACAACGGAGTCTTTGTCTTTTATACACTCGTATATTTCATCGTCGATGTTGGGTCGACTCTTCTCGGCGACGACTGACGAAAAATAGAAAGAAAAATCAATCAAGTTTTTGATAAAGTTCGTTTGAAATCTTGACTACGTATGCCCCTTTATTCTACTCGAAAATGTGATTTTTAACCCAAATCTCACCAGTTTTGTTCGGAATGCTCAAACGCTCCTCCTTGATGTGAATCGAATTGACTTTTAAGTCGGTTGTTATGTTAACTGCTGACACATCACGACTGCTTGTTGCTATATTGGATGTTGCAACATTTCCTTCAGCCATTACATTCGGCAGCTTGGTTTGATTTTGTCTCGTTGATTGCTCTGTAATTGAAATTTGATTTGAATGAATAACATCCGCATTGGTATCTATTTAATTCAAAATTGATCAAACTTGATTCGTTATCATCTTGTCATTATTTTTCAAGTGAAGTTCGAAAAAAAAAATAGCAAAATCACTCACCCAGTATCCTGGCCATCGATTTTTCTTTCTTGATCACCGAACTCGTTTTCAATTCATCAGTAGCCTCATTGATGTTCTCCTTCGAACTGTGCAAAATGGTTGAGTTTTTAATCGATGGCATATGAATTGAGAACATGGCTGTGTTTGGATTATCCTCCGAAAATGCTCGTGGCAACTCAATGCTGGAACTACGTTGAAGACTTGGCGCATTTTGAATGTCTTGTGTCAATGATTCGCGTGCCGAAGTGTGCTTTATTGGTTCCAACAAAGACATCGACGGATTTCGCAACGATGAGATCTGATGGAGTGTTTTCCTTTCCGCTATGACAGACTCTCGTTTTAGTTGCGGAATTGCTGGACTTGGTGGTGTGTCAAGAATTAATATCGGCTTTGGCAGTGTGTTGTCCTTCTGTGTGATTGGTGATTTGATCATTGCATAAAATTCATCATCGATATTTGGCCTAGATCTCGAAAATACCGACTTATTGCAATCGATTGCGCTTCCAGTTTCATCTTCGGGTAAAATCTTTGCGCTTGGACTGATGATCGCATGAATTTCCTCATCAATAGCCGTTCGTGATTTCTCCATTCTTTCCACAACCAATGATTTAATGCCAAATATGGATTTATCGGCCACTGGGCTTGGTGGTGATTCTGCTTGTGCTTGTTTCGGTGGCGAATTGATCATAGCATACAACTCATCGTCGATACTCGCTTTCGATTTGTTCGCCATCGATTTATTTGCAATGCAACTCTTTGCCGGCACATTTTCCATTTGTTCATTTTCTTTTTCTTCGTCTTGCACAATGAAGATTGATTTAGTTGCCTCGATAACCGGCGGAGCGGTAAGAGTTTTATCAATTGGCTTTGAAACATTCACTTTACTCACTTCATTTGTATTCGATTCAACGAGCATCCTATTACGGCCAACCGTTGATTTATTTGAAGTCACATTGCTCTGGTTGACGGCCACGCCTGTATCGTCACGAAAACCATAGAAAAGTGACTGATCCGCAATGCTTTTATCAATTTTCAATGTTGTTTCAGCTTTAGTCTGATTCATTGCTTGCATCTCATTGATCGTGGATGCATTCTTTGATGCTTCACCAGCAAAGTCGATTTCGGGCAACGTCGGCATCTCCGGAATCATGGGAAAAGCACTCAAATTCCCTATGACCATGCTCATTTGCAATGGATTCGGTAGCTTTGGTGCGGTTTCAGTTTTGTCCGGTGCAAAATTTGTAGTAAACACATTTGTGGTGGTGTCCTCTCTGGGGAAAATGAATACCGACTGATTATACACAGCCGATTGATCAACTGCTGGTGGTGGTGGCGGTGGTGGTTCAACTCGTGACGCGTTCGCTTTGAACAATTTCGACGTGTTTTTCGTGGTATCATGCGGAATTTCGGGCATGTAAAGTGAGGGTGCTTCGAACGCTGGCGGTATTGATTGTGTGAAATTGGTTTGATTGCCGTTGAAAATGGGAGGCAATTGTTCGGTTTGCTCTTCAACAAAGTTGATCATTGGAAGAGTCAAGCCAGTATCTTCGCGCATCATTTGGAATGTCGATTTCGGTGAGATTTGTGATGGAATCGAGGGAGTTGTTAACGTAGAATCTTGAGGATTTTCAGCCGTTGGAACGGCAGTACTTACGCGACGAGTAGAAGAAACATCGTTGTTTGTGAGTGTCTTCGAGCTCCAACTTGATGCTGCGGTTTCGGCTTGGGATATTTCAAACACAGATTGATCAGGACAGTTTGATAACTCGGCCTTCTTGAACGCAACTGAATTTTCTTTTTTCGACGGTTGAATTTTAACGGTTTCAGTTTCTTCCTCCGTCTCATCTTCATAAATATGAAATTGGCCAGCCGGTGGCAAAGTTTTATCAAAATTATCCGGTTGCACTACAAACGGTTTGGACAAATCGCTATTTTTGGTTACATTCACTTGCGCTTGGCTTGCCACAGTATCATTCGCTTTTGGTGCTTCTTCTTGATAAATTTCAAAACCCAATGCCGACACTTTTCGCGATTCGTTCTCACGATGCATACTCGATACATTCGATGATGACATTTTGGCGGTGGTGCTGTTGATGATTGTTTGATGGCGATACGTTGACATTGCCGCCACCGATGACTGGTGATTGCTGTGTTTTGTGAAATCAAAATCTTCAACCGACGACGATTTGCTCGATGCTGTTGCAGCCAACGATGAAACCGTCGAAGCCGTTGCACATTCTTCGGTCGTTTCCATGATGGCCGACAATTTTTGGCGATAAATATCATGTTGTTCGGCCAAGATATACTGTTGATCAACATCGACGGATCTCAAACCGAATGGCTGCTTGCCAGTGCCCTCATTTTGATCGGCAGATGGTGATTCATCACTGTCACTTCCGAAAGAAAGCCCTTTTGCTACGACACTATCGGGATCTGCCATTTTGGCTGCAGGTTTTGATACTTTTGGGGTACTGATTGACTGTGATTTGATGAAGAAGTTGAATGTTTGTGTGGTGCAACCGTCCAAATCTTCATCCTGAAACACTGACAACGATGTACCGGGTTTCTGAAGCGATTGTGGCACTTTGAAAATATTATCATCATTTTCGGTGTCTTTTCGTTCGTTGTCTTCAAAAATGTTGAATTTTACCGGATTCGGCTTGTGATGACTCTCAGCCATTTCCTCGTCGTCGTTTAGTCTTCGGCGGGAAATTGGTGGTGACGCTGTTTCAGGTATTGTGGTCAACGCGTCAAGTGGTCGTGCCATGTAAACACTCTTTCGCTTTGGCAAACTTGATCTCTTGACCGCTCCCGTTGCCACATCGACACTCGACGAACTTGCCTCTTGTGCTTTCTCTTCCACTGTCGCTAGTTCTGTTGGCGCGATGGATTTTCTGCCGCTAATCGATCGTCGTGTCGGTGATTGTGATCTACGTGGCAGAATCGATTTGCGGCCACCCAATGCCATTGATCTGCGTTTCGCATTACGAATGTAGTTGTCTTCACGACGCTCAAAACCGCAAGTGATATCCATTTCGGCCTCTTTTTGACTGATCAATTCACCGTTAAGCCATTTCGATTGCAGAATTTCTTCCGGTGAATATTCCTCATTCGCTGTGTAAATCAAATTAATGTTGAATCCGAATTTTCGCTGCCCATTGGATAGCGCTTCCTCGACAATGATCGGAGCTAAATCCAAATCGTCTTGCTTCCGATTTTTGCTAGCAAAATGTGGCGGTATACGAATTGGAATATTATATCCATTCTCCCAAACGGTGTCTTGGGTTCGAGTGAAGTCATTCTTAATGTTGCGTTTTTTGAACCATTTGTATGCGCTGAGCTCTTCCAGCGAATAGCATTTATTAGGTGCTGGGAATACCATGAATTTGTCGTATTTATATGATGTATTCTTGGCTGGTTCTTCGTCGCGATGCAACGGAAATGCAAATTCTTCTTGTGGCAAATTTTTTCGCACAAATTCTTTGGGCAATTGAATGCCACGAGCATAATTGTTCTCACTGTCAGGCAATAGAATTGGCGGAATTCCGTCATCTTCCAATATCGAAAATGATGGCTTCGATGAACTGCCACTGAATAGCGCATGAGATTTTATCTTTGCCTTATTCCATGGCCCTGGCTCACGCATATTCTCCTGTTTCTTGGTACTATTGATGATCGATTGAACGACCGATGTTGAAGCAGTTGGTGATGTTGGAGCGAATGCTGCCCCTTCTCCATTCTCTTCAAATACCTGCACCTTTCGGTTTTCCTTCTGTTGACTCGATGATCCATGTTGATCGACACGGCCCGGGTTGTAGCTTTTCACCGCTGAACCCGTTCGAATACTGCCAACATGCCGATGTTTGTGCGCTCTCAACGAGGTCAACGCCAATCGTTGCTCATCCATTGTGGATCGGAATTCTCTTTGTGTCGATTCATCTTTGTACAAAATCCGTTGGGACATTAAGAATCCGAATTGACGATGAGCTTGCTGTAGCAACTCAATTGGCTGGGCTCGAGCATCTAAACCCTTTTGATACACGGCTTCGGCCTTTTCAAAATTGTCACAGTAATCGTAGTAATGTGCCCAACACAAATACAAATCGGCTATCATTGTGCCAATGCCATTGTTGTACAGTTGCTCGTAGAATTGCGGCGGATTCGGCTCTGAATCGATCTGTTGATAAGCAAACACATTTTATTAGAGAAAAAAAACGGAGAAAATTAAGAAAATTTATGATGGGTTGGTTGAAATCCAACAAATTCGAACGGTTTTCCGTAAAAATGCCTCGAAATTCGAAACATGTGTTTCATCTTTTTTGAAATATGAAACATTTTCACCGAAAAAAACTCAAATTCCATAAACCGGTCTACTTACATATTTGATATAAAGTTTCAACATTCGTTTGTCTTGGAAATACCGTTCATCACGTTCAAACAAAGCCAAGCACTTTGACAGCAATTCGTGGAGCGCCGATTCTTTTCCACTCTTTGGGTAAATTTGCTCAACCCACACAATGTAATCGTACCATGGCTGCAGTGGATCATCTCCTTCGTATCTTTCTATAGCCTTCTCAAATTCACGTCGTTGTTCATGCAATTTCTCCTGAATTTCATGATCCGATTCCGCATGCAACGCTGTTTCCAAGTGCTCAGCATTGCGACCACTAGCCAATGGCTGAATATTTTCTTTGGCTGTATCAAAATCCATATTTTTCGTTCAGCTTAACAGAAACTTTAATTTTTTTTCTAACTCAAACACTTCAAACGAACACTTGATTCATAAATATTTTTTATCGATAAAAATCCATTTAGCAAACCATTTTAAAAACCAAAATTCAGACCAAACACAAAAATGAACAATGTTCTTTTTTCAAAATATAAACACAAAACAATACCAGAACGATTCTTTGTTGCAATTTTCGTACCACTTTTTTACTACTGCAAATGCTTGTTCATATGAAATCCGTTAAGAAATGAAACAAATGGTTTTGGTTTGACATTTCAAACCGATTGTCTCCACACAAACATACTGTTAATGCTCGCACACTTGGAACATTTGAACATTTGAATGTGACTTACGGTTGCTGTATGAAGCGTTTGGTTTTGAATTAAATTGATATTCAATGAAAAAAAAGTTCAATATCGAAATTTGATTTGAAAAATATTCTAAAACAATTTTTTTGCATTTATTTAATATAAAATCAAGTGAGAAGAAACATCATTTCAGTGCTGGCATCAGGAACGCACTCTAAATATAGAATGAACGAACTCTACACACGCAATACGGACGTACAATGGGTGCGCAACGAGATATACGATAGTAACGACCTAGGCATTGGAACGCACACAAGCGCATGTCAAAGTGTCTAACCTGTCTATTCTCATTGGTTGTCAATAACGAATGATGTACGGATATGTATATTGTATACATTGAAAATGCGCTGAAATCAAAATGCGACTGGGCAAATACAAAAGACGAGTTTTATGTTATTAAATTTATTTATGTGTTCATTGATTTTTCAATCGAGTTTTTTCTTTTCACCGTTTCATCTTTCCAATTCTGCAAATTAAGCATGGAATTAGTCAAATCTCAAGGTTATATTCCTGGGATTTTGCTCAATTAATCCTTTATTCAGTCAATTTAGACGTTTTAATTACATTTTATATTAATATTACATTCACGTGATCAAGACGTATTTTTTTCTCGTCAAATTCATGCAACTTTCGGTAAATTCCTATTCCACATTGTGTACAAATTAAAATGCGTAGAACAAAATATGAAGAGATGTTTTTCAAGAATCGTTTTTCGAGGTAAATATTGTCTGAGTGATTTTTTTTCGCGATAAAATTGCTTGGATGGTATCTTAAATGCCATAAACATAGGCGAACACATTGAAAACGTTGGTGTTGTAAGCTTCAACGACAATTGTGATCTGGTGTTGATTAATGCCTCCTTTGACAACGTATGCTTGGCCCAATGAGCTGGTCTGCAACAAAATTATACCATTAAAATTCTGTTTTGCAAGAATGAGATGATTTTCATGATAACTAAATCACTTCGATGAATTTACCTGATTTACCACGATAGCGACATAGGTGACCAGAGCACCGTATCCTTGTGATGGATACGTCAATTGAATTTGAACGTTGTGCGGCTGTGGCCAGCTCTGATTTTGTCCTCCTGATGCCACCAAACGATCAGCTGAAAGTGAAAAATACGACAAAGCTTGTATTAGTCATTAGTATGTATCAAAAGCATTGATCACAGTCACAGTGAGCGCACATTTCGGAAAAAGTCCACGGAATTACCAGATTCAATTGAAATAATTGTATAATTTGAGTCATTTTGGAACTCGAGGCAAATTCAAACCGAGATACGAGTAGATGAAGCGAACAGAATACGTGTGGGATATTTTTCTGCGTCAAATGACGTTTTCGACTACATGAATTACGGTAGATAAGTTCATAATATATTCGAGAGAAAAAGTTAGAAACGTTTTATTCACCGCAGAAAAAAAATCCAACTAAAAAAAAAATAGGTTTAATGCGATATACGTGCCGGTTTCATTCTCGGCTTCAACCGTGTAATTCGAAATGATTGTTGGAAATTATGAATGCGTAAGATATACGAGAGAGAATAATTGGATTAACTGAAAATAACGTATACAAAGCCATTCCGAATGACTCAACGATTATTCCTTGTGTGAGTGTGTGTGTGTGTGTGTGTGTGTGTGTGTTTGTGACTTATACTCGGATTTATTACCCGTCGAAATCACAAAATGCCGTACTGTGATTGCTGTAAAGTTCACAGTCACTGACCGGTCAGCAACTTTTGCGATTCGATTGATTCAGGTTGGGTATGACTTTAGGTGAATCGATTTGCATACTTGGCGAACCGCGTATGCAATTATTGCACCTGTTTAAAATGAACAATTTTTCTAAAAATATCCCCGAGTTTTACGATTTTTCTCACGATTGATCAACATCAAAGATGTTATTTGTTGGCTTAACGTGATGTAAATTGTTTACTTGCCGGTGATCCGATCTGAAGAGGGGAAACACCAAAATTATATTACACCATTGATTGCAATTCACACTTTAAACAGCATCAATTCCGAGTCATTTGCGAGAAGAAAAAAATCCCAATATAAAAACCGCAAACGCATTTATTTTGCAATTAAGTTCGAGCCTCCTTCGCATTTGCATGGATTTATTTTTTTCGTGTATGTGATAAAAATAGAAATCCCTTGACGCAACAGAAAAAAGGTAATTTAAAAAAAAAATAAACTTACAGCTTCTTCGAGCTCCGATTGCATAGTGCAAAATTCCGTTAACACTTCGCAAGGGCTGCACCATTTCGTAGTGGACCGGTGGATGTGGAATTACATCGTTTGTGTTGTCCGTCGAAATAATCGACAAATCGCCATTGATTTCCTGGTGGGAACTTTCAATAGTCTCGAAATCCAAAAGTGAAAATTCTTCACTTGCGATCATGCCCACCATGAACACGGCAAAGAAAATTACTATTTTGCGCAACATTTTTTTCTTCTCCGATGTCGAATACAAATGGCGGTGGTCAGACTGGAAAATTTGACACTGGTAGCTGTTGCGAGTGTTTCGTTTAGTTTACAGTACAAACTGATTCTCGTTGTCGACTTCAAATTTGAACTAATGCAAAAACAGCACTGACATCGCTCTATATTCGGTCGATTAACCGCTGAACCGTTCTTTGTGTCATTTTTATATGCGTCTCTTTCTAACACTCTATCGCTTAGTTCGTTATGCATTATCGACATAGGAGTACAGTGAACAGAGAGAGTGACGGAGAAAGAGAGAAACCCGAAAAAATTAGAAAGAATGAAGAAAGAAAAGAGAACAACGAAAATTGAATACAGAAAGAAGAAGCAAGAGAAGCGAGATTCAACAAGTGTATTGAAATTCCCGTTTGCACCACTTGTTGTGACTCAATGCTTACGAAATGGTGACCAATTGATAATTTTTCAAAATATTTACTAAAATTCACTTTGCATTTTGAACACTGCTCATTGCTGATAGAAATAAATTTCAGATTAAAATTTCTTATCAAAAATCGAAAGGGCAAACTCGAAGATCAAATGCTCGGTTCATGTGACTCTGATCTGTGTGCGTTCGATTTGTGAATTCCCTTGCAATTTATTCAAAATGATCAAGGACTTGATAATTTTACCGAAAATGATATGAAAATAATTTATTATTCATGATTCATTCATTCGATTCTTTTAGTATATAATCTGAAAAGTGCAAATGACTAGCACAAAAAAAATCACCGTTTTCTCTTTCAATCGATATGATTAATAAACGATGTTTTTTTTCTCTCTAAAAAAAGCCGTTTGGATTGAACTTGGCGTAACATTTGAGCAAATAGAAACCATTTAGTAGGTTGCACAGTGTGTTTATTCAACCAATTCTAAGGAATCAATACATGCAAATTGCGAACTAATATCGATGCTAAATCAATATCACTGTTCAATACTATCATGTTTTGTGTGCGATTCACTGTCGGATTGACAAGCAAACGAGTGCCGGCCGAGGCGAATTTCGCTTCTATACACTAAGCACCAGTGTTAGTTGAAAAATACACTTGCAAAACACCGTAAAAAACAGACACAAACACTAGACTGCTTCAAAAAAAAAAGTTGTCCCTCATCTGTAATGTCCGGCCAGTTTCGAAAAATATACCTCAAAAAAATAGGTTTGGTGCAAAGATTGCACATGGGTACCATATAAAAAACCATAGCAAGCCCCACATCAAAATTTTCATGACAGCAATTTCGGAAGCCATTTTGGTTCGCAACATTTCGACTAATTCCATTATTCCAACCAAATTTCGACAAAGAGTGTTGATGGGGTTTTGTTTGGCTCGTCAATATCTATAACTTTTACCAAGACATCAGCCCTTGAAAAGGCCTTCTGGGCCAGTTAAAGTGTAAAATGACCGAAAAAATTGCAATTTTTTGGCATTTTTTAAATTTTTTGCTCTACGAGTCACCCAGGCGGTGGATTATTGTTCAGTTTTCGACTTGTGTCGTGTAGCCAGAACCTGTACAAATATTTTGGTACTTGTCAGATTGCGATTTGGATGGAATTTGGCGGCAATTGATTCACACATATAAGACAAATTTCAGGTCAAAATGAGCAAATCACAAACATGAGCTTCGATTTGACAGATAAAAGCAAATGATTTCTACCTTTTCTGCCTTTGAACATCTAGTATGGTCCTTTACGAACATTTTAAGTAACAACACGACCAAATCGAGTGATGTTTTCACATATTTCTGGTCTCATATTCGATTTCAACTCCCAAAAATCGACTTTTGACCAAAAAATCCTTAAGTATAGGCTTTTTAGGGATGCCAAAAATCATTCATAAGAGATTCTGTGTGAGTAGGTTCCCAATATTTCTCGAAAAAAATAACTTTGTACTAAGAAACTCATCCAAAAAGTGTATTTTTGGGGTACCTTCCGAACAAAAATTGATATTTTCATAGTAAAATTCATGAAAAACGTATATTTTGTTGGGGAGGTACCCTAAAAAGTCAATTTTGAGAGTTTTTGTCTGGGTAGACTCCCCATATTTTCGAGAAAAAATAACATTGCACCAAGACACCATCCCTAAAAATCCTATACTTAAGGATTTTTTGGTCAAAAGTCGATTTTTTGGGAGTTGAAATCGAATATGAGGCCAGAAATATGTGAAAACATCACTCGATTTGGTCGTGTTGTTACTTAAAATGTTCGCAAAGGACCATACTAGATGTTCAAAGGCAGAAGAGGTAGAAATCATTTGCTTTTATTTGTCAGATCGAAGCTCGTAGTCGTGATTTGCTCATTTTGGCCAGAAATTTGTCTTATATGTGTGAATCAATTGCCGCCAAATTCCATCCAAATCGCAATCTGACAAGTACCAAAATGTTTGTACAGGTTCTGGCTACACGACACAAGTCGAAAACTGAACAATAGTCCACCGCCTGGGTGACTCGTAGAGCAAAAAGTGTAAAAAATGCTAAAAAATTGCAATTTTTTCGGTCATTTTACAATGTAACTGGCCCAGAATGCCTTTTCAAGGGCTTATGTCTTGGTAAAAGTTGTAGATGTTGACAAGCCAAACAAAACCTCATCAACAGTTTTTGCCAAATATTGGCTGGAAAAATTATTTTGGTCGAAATGTAGCGATTTAAAATGGCTTCCGAAATTGCCGTCATGAAAATTTTGATGTGGGGCTTGCTATGGTTTTTTATATGGTACCCATGTGCAATCTTTGCGCCAAACCTATTTTTTTGAGGTATATTTTTCGAAACTGGCCGGACATTCCAGATGAGGGACAACTTTTTTTTTTGAAGCAGTCTAACGAACACACTTAACCACTTGGTAATCACTTGCGTCTGTAATTGTGATGCGAGGGTTAAGAGTTTAACTGGCAAAATGGTTTTCAGTGATTATGTTATGTTCATGGATTTAGGTCAAAAGCAACAAAACGTTCATTATCTTTCTCTCAGTTTGTCATAAATTTGAACGCAATGACAAGGAAGAAATCAACGCGCAATAATTTAGTGTGTTGAACGAACTGAGTACACTGTCTAGTGTTTCGAATTTGGTTGAACGGTAGAGAAGCCACCCAGTCGAAGCCATATTCATATGGGCAGCTGTGATGCGTGTCGAAGACTTACACTTGTTTGAATAGTGGTGACATTGAAAACCGGTATCGCATATCGAAACGAACTACAACACCGTGCGCATGTTGACAAAGACAACATAAAGCACCAAAAACAATCCAATAAATAAACAATCGATCGACAGTGGTTGTGTCCAATGTGCAGAACTTTCTTGAACGTGTTTGATTTATTTGTTGTTGTTTTTATATTGCCAACTCATTTTAAATTCTTAGAATTTTTGCACATAAAATCAAAAGTTATACGCCAAATAAGATCGTTAAATAAGTTTTCTGATACAAAAAAAAGCCGTGAACTCTGCATCGCCTTGTCATCTTCTTATCAATAAAAACGCAAAATAAAGTGGATTGTGTGACCCAATAAATTTATAGAATTGGAAAAACCGTTTTTTTTATATACATATATCCGTTCTGTTGAACCAAACGTAACAAAAAGGTAGCGAACGTTGGCTTTTAGTATAAGTGAATAAAAATCTCGTTAAAACCAAAAACTTTTGACTAGTGTTAGTGGAAAATTTCATGTGAAGACAACCAACATATTTGACGGCATTAGACGACTGAGTGTGTGACGTAAATGCTAAGCTGATTGACACCGATTTTGATTCGTGTCTACGCCATTAATCGTGATTGACATCTCTCGCCAAATAAACTTGAATGAAATGGATTTCGCGACTTTTATTAGCATAGCATTGACAATCGACGTCATGCTCATTGGATATGGTCAGGCACAAAGATATGGTAATCAAAATGGTTTTGTTACTGTATTTTTTTTCTCTCTCTTTCGGTGTTGAATTAAAATTCGTATCAGTTTGATTGCATGCAACGCTTTTTTTCAGTTAGAAAATTGCACAACGCACCTCTTTGTGAATTGAAATTACTAGTTGTGCGTATGGGGAATCCCATAGTAAGTTGCATCCAAACAGCAATCAGCGTTTTTTGCAAATGAATTGCGTGATCTGCTGCACGTATGCACAAAATGTGATTGCACTAAACCTGCGAAACGAGTATTTAGCTTTGTTTTAAAACAAAAAGAGCATCTTAAAAGCAACGAATTCTTAAGTTTTGAACCAGTTTTTTATCGGCACTTTTTAATTTATACCACACTTCATACTTCTGTGCTGTTTTTTATGGCTGTGACGCGACCAACATTCTTTCAAAGAATCACCAAGGTGTGATTCAAGTTCTCTTAACCCAGCCAGACTGAAATGAATGACAACAAAAACGAGTGTTACTAAATTATGTTTACACTTTTCAGAGGGCAATCCATGCACGCTATACGATGGCAGCCGAGGTATTTGCAAGAATATCGCTTATTGCGAATCAATTAAAGTGGGCTTGCGGACGGGGACAATAGGATACCAAAACATTGTTACATGCTCATTTCAGGTAAGAAACCGGCATACGCAATGTTCTGCTCTTCATTTTGCATTCGTTTTTGATCTTTCTGTTTGTTGTCAGGGCGCCATCCAAATAGCTTGTTGTGCTGATGAAAGGCCACAGCCCGGTCGTCATAGACCAGTATTGCCATCTCAACCAAATACAGACTTTGTCTTCATGTGAGCCACCTCTGTTCAGTTTGCATGTGCACTTTAAATGGTTTTGAATTTACTCTCTCATTCTGCATGAATTAAACCAAATCATCAATTGTGAAGAGATTGCTTTTAGAAGGGAACTTTTTTCTAGATTCTTTTTTTCGAAAGAAGAAAATTTCCTTTTGATAAAATCTTTTTTGATTGCAATCGTCGACTTATTTGAATATTAATCAGAATAGTTGTGATTGGATTTAACAATAAGTGTAGTTTTTCTTGACCGCAATTATCACCCATCCATTCATCTAATTTCCTGTAATGTATTGTTGAGTGCATGTTCAATAGATCCTCATGCTTATAGCATTCAATTTAATTTGTATAGAAATAGGCCGGCCAATAAACCGTTGTGGTCGTCGCATTCAAAACCAAATCAAACTCTCTTTGCGAATGATTTACCGATGTTACCATTGACATGGAACACAGCGACAAATGTTCTAACGCATACTGGTTTCATTTTTCCAAGTGGTCCGCTGCCAAAATCCACAACTACAATGAGAACAACGACGACGATAACAACTCCAAAGCAAATCAGAACGATACCAACTGTGAAATCGACCACACCTGTAATGGATGATTGGATGAAAGATGTCATCCGTGAATATTCAACGACGACAACTGAAGCTGGTGTACTTCCGTGGATGCAAGACATTTTAAATGAATATTCAACGACGCCAAAGTCCAATAATAAGGTGATTCAAACGACCACATTGAAACCAACTTTGAAAACGACTGCAGCCAATTCATTTTGGAGCGAATGGTCAGCTGTAAATCCAACCAACATTGGAAATAATGATATTGATAGTGTCTCAAATCAAGGTGTCAATGAGAAATTACGACAAACTACAACAACCACCACCGAAATGCCTGGTTGGATGAAGGAAATTCTCAACGAACATTCAACGACCTCAAGTGTAAACAATGGAAATAATCATGCGATTAAAACGACCACGACTCGAGCACAAACACCAACTGATATGCCGTCATCGATGCGTGATGTTTTAAATGAATATTCGACAACGACAGCAAAAACAACAACAATAGGAACAACATTTGTAACAAGTACGATGAAAAAGTCGTCAATTGGTGATGGTAATCTATTCGCTGGTGGTGGTAACAGTGACTTACATATTACAACGCCGACCAGGTATTCGATATGATTCAATCGAATCTTGTGTGTGTGTATGTGTCTGTGCAATGCATTAAAAATCATGGTTTAATATGGTGATTGTCTCTTCATCACACTCATTGCCGTACTCTTTCTGTATAGTTGTTGGTTTTGTGATCCCAAATTCATTGATCCCCCTTGTTTTTGTTCAAGTTTTTTTTTTTTTTTTTTTTTGGTTTGGCATTTGTGATTTTGGATGGTTGAATTGATATATTTATCACATGTGCAAACTAAACGATTAGTAGTAACGAAAATGATTCGTCATCAATTGATAGTGGGACGCGGCCGGGCCGTGTGACGGATAAACCACCACTCGATGACACCAGATCGCGTTATAGCGCCGGCAGAAAAGCTGAATCCGGTAATTCAGAATACCACAAATCATATCGAATGACTCGTTCAATAGATTCGTTCTGTTAATGTACGTTGCGTTTTATAATGTTTCAGCATGTGAAATATACTCACGCCTACCGATAGCCATATCGTGGAATATTTTGGATGGAGTCCCAACCAATTTGGGTGAATTTCCATGGATGGTAAATTTTCCCCCCAAAGAATATGTTTTTGGTACAGTTTAGATGAATCGAATTTTTCCCAATGAAGGCTGCATTAGGTTATCGGGATATTAATAACGACATCAGTTATGACTGTGGTGGAACTCTCATTTCGGAATACTATGTACTGACAGCTGCACATTGTGCACCACCTAGACGACGACCGCAAGTGGTTCGATTGGGAAAAGTGAGTATTCTTGAAGTTTTTCACAAATTATTTGATGATTTGTATCATTTCTCATTGAACTTCATTGAACTGAATTAGGTGACTCTTTTCACAAACGACGATGACGCCGTTCCAGTTGATATCGACATTGCGGTAGGCATTCCTGAGAACTCATTTACAATTCTCAGTCATCAATTGTTAATGTTATTCAATTATTATTCAAATTACTCTATGCATGTACTTAAAAAAAAACAGGATACTATTCGTCATCCACAATATAATTCAGGTGTAAAGAAAAATGATATCGCACTAGTTCGACTTGCTCGACCCGTAAATTTCACAGAAAATGTTCGGCCAGCGTGTTTACGAACCAATTTAGGTGATTTATTTATTATATATATATATATATATATTATATATTTTATATAATTTAGGTGATGTGCTGCCCACCGTTGAACTTATTATCACCGGATGGGGTACCACTTCTGCTACACGTGAGTTTAATTTTCTTGTCTTTATTCGGATTTTGGAATGGTAAAAAAATTCAATTTGTCAAAAATTTAAAAATTCATAGATTGATGAAATGGAATGAATTTAGCTTTAATTTTTCTCACATCCCATAAACATTTTGGTCACCAATTTTTGCTCATCTTTTTTTTTCCTTTTTGACCCGAATAAAAAAAATAAGGAACGATACGGCCATCGGTTTTGCTAAAAGCAAATGTCACCTCAATGCCATTGCAGCTGTGTAATACAACGCTGGTATCTATCAATCGACAGGCGAACGAACCGGGCCTACGACAAGGTCTAAGTGAAAGCCAATGCTGTGCATTCGATCCCGCTGGCAGTAAAGATGCATGCCAAGGTACTTTGTATTGATTTATATTTCATCTTATTTATTTATTTATTTATTTTTTTTTTATAACCAAGATTTCTTCCTCTTCCTTATTATAATATCACAATTTGTAACGCTCGAATGATTTATTTTCTAGGTGATTCGGGTGGTCCACTTCAATCATTTCCAGACACCACAAATATTGCATCGATCATTGGTGTTGTATCGTTTGGCGTTGGATGTGGTACTAAGCAGCCTTCGGTCTACACGAGAGTGGCCTACTATTTAGACTGGATTGAACCAATTGTGTGGCCAAACGCATAATAACTCGACCTGTACTAAGATTAAGCAAAAATAGAGAAAGAAAAAGATAAATCAAAAAAATACTGTTGTCGTTTTTTTTTTTTCATTTGTATACATGTTTTATTGATAAAACAAAATTGCGTTTAGATTCCCGAGAATTGCGAATCCGCCCATACACTTACCGCTAACCGGCCGCACGCGCTATTACATTTAACAGCTTGCAATTTATCGGTGTTTCAATAAATTCTTCAATTCTGCTTTACAATGATTTACTTGAACTCATCACACAAACAGCGGTGTGGCAATGTGAATGCATGCTTGGCTTGAATGTATTGAACATCATCAGAGAAATCACGTTTCTCTCAAAACGTAGAAGAAATGCGTGGCACTGTGTGTTTTTGCCAATTAGTACTTTAGTTACGGACTGATGTTTTGATGGTGAGGTTGACCGACGAAATCAAAGCGAATAAAACGTTCTATCGAAATGCAACACTTACCACAGCTGTGCGTCACCATTGTTGTTTTGTTAATCACGTCAATTGACGTCGATTGTGTGATACCGACATTTCTTTATGGTAAATTTATTATATTTTCTTTCGAAATTCATTATAAGGAACTGAAATGTTTTATGTCATTGAACACATTACAGAAGGAAGCCCATGTCGTTTGCATACGGGTGTGAATGGTATCTGCAAAAATGCGCTAAAATGTAACTGGGCCATCGAAAATTTGAAGCAGAGACAAATGAAATTAAATGACATTAGGAGATGTTCATTTTCAGTATGTATTCTTTCTATCGGGTGAAAATTCTTTGTACTTACTTTTGTTCTAAATTAAGGGACCACGTGATGACATCATCTGCTGCGGAGATGAGAGTTTAAGTCAGCCACTTGAAGTGACACCCCGTCCTTGTTTTTTGGAATTTTTATTCGAGTGCGTTTTAACGATTAATCACATGTCATTTGTGGAATTATTTAATTAAATATTTCAAAATCGATTCATCGAATTTTCTATCAAAGTTTCAAGTGCACGGACCGAGTTCCCGATCGTAGCACCGAGTCATCAGAATACAAACCGCAGAATAGCGGTGACAAAATTCGTGATGCATGTACAAAGTATTCGGCATTGGCTAAACCTTTCAACCCTCCACATTCAATCATAAAGGGAAAAACGGCTGATCCAATGGAGCTGCCACATATGGCAGGTCTGGGTTATCCAAATCGTCAAAATACAAGCTATAACTTTGATTGCGGCGCCAGTCTCATTGCTGATCAATGGGTCGTTACAGCGGCCCACTGTAAGTATATTGACTAATATCAGCTACTGCTGCAAACACTAAATAATACACACTGTATCAAAGGTATCAAGGAGCGACGTAGGCCGGTAATCGTTCGGTTCGGAAAAGTGAGACTTTTTTTTCATATTCTAAACCATCTAATTGATTCCGTGAATGTTTATTATTATTTGTTTTGTTTTAATTTATTCAGATTTATCTTCATTCTGATTACGAGGAAGGCGTTGACAAAAGCATATCGGTATGAATAACAAATACGTGCTTTAAACATGGTTGTGGATATTTAAAAAAAAAGTAGCGTAATTTAAAATGTAAACTATAAAATTCTTCCCTTTAGCGCATTGTTCGCAATGAATACTCGGTTATTACTAAGAAAAATGATATCGCTTTAATTGAGTTCATTGGAAGTATAGCATTTAATGATATCATTCGTCCAGCCTGCATTCACACTAATGTGAACGATATTCTTGAAACAGATAATCTTGTGATCGCCGGTTGGGGTTCAATCGAACCGGATAGTGAGTTTGTTTTATTTAGAATTTTTTTTTGTATCAAGTTTTTAATTTCTTATTTTCATCTCAATTGTTATTAAAAAAATTTTCTTCTTAATTTTTCTTTATTTTTCGTTCGATTTTTTACGTTAATTTTCTTCGTCTTCAATAATTTTCCGCAGGAACCAATCGATCAGAAGCTTTGCTCAAGGCCAATGTAAATGCAGTCCCATTGGATCAATGTAATAGAACATTGGTGATCACAAATATCGCAAATTTTCCACGTGGATTGAGTCAATCGCAAATGTGTGCAGTAAATTTGCGGTCGGGTTCAGATGCATGCCAGGTATGATGAACCGATTTTTATTTACATATAAATCCGAAAAACAGCGGGTTCCCCTTCAAAAGCCCCTTTAATTTTGGCATATCAGAAGAAGAAAATTTTGTTTTGGGGCATGTGCTGAAAAGTCATCTCCAACAAAGCGTACTAAATTTATCTTTTATTAGGGTGATTCAGGTGGACCGATTGGAATTCATGATAAATCAACGGGCGTATCGACGATCGTGGGAATTGTTTCATTTGGAATAAGCTGCGGAACAGAATTGCCAGGAGTATCTAAAATCATCTCAATAAAATCAAGATCTCTTCCACATCCGTATTATTATAATCACAATTTGTAACGTTTAAATGATTCATTTTTCAGGTATACACGCGCATTGCGTCTTTCGTTGATTGGATTGAAAATACGATATGGCCGTAGCTGTATCCATGGGCACAAATATGAATGTAATAATTTTATATTCACGTAATAATCCAAATTGAAAATTTCATTTAAGATTTAATAAAACCGAATTTCTCAGCAAAATTTGTATTTTTAATTTCAACAAATGATAAAATCGGTATAGGATTCTCAGTAGCTGTCCAAGTGCAATGCATTTTCGATTTGCGCTTAGCTTTAGAACTAGTGTTCCTAATAGTCATTCGATGAGTCAAATTTTAAAAATCGCCTATGAATATTGAAATCGTCTGAATTTTTCTCACAATGTCGCTCGCTTGCTCGCATGCAATCAAAAGATAAAGAGCCACAAATCATTGTTAATAGACAGTTTAGTACTCCATTGTTGCACTGTATTTTATTACGTTTTGACTGACTCAAATCTATTATTACGCGGGAAAATGTGAAATTTACACGCAATGTAATTGATATCCGATATATTTTCCTACCATAACGAAATTCTTACCATTTAATTAGCTCTATTGAGTCTATAGTTGAGTGATTCAGGTGATTATTATAATTAAAATCGGTAATTCAATAAACTGTGGTGCTCGAGCATACAATTGATGGTGAAATTAAGTTAATAAGGGAAATCACAAATTCAGAAACAGGAATTATAATTGAATAGGGGAACTCTTCATTGATGGAACAGAAAATGATATGGTAAAGCTCTTACAAATGAAAAGAGTATATTCAGTCACTTTTAATCTTTGACCGATTTGATGGTGTCTACAGTTCTTCGCAAAACCGCACATAAAATAGTCCGATTCATCAATACGTAGTGTTGTTTTGTTTTCTAACAACATTTTGACGCATATCATAAGAATTCGTCTCTATATGACATGCACGATAAATTAGGACGATCAGACAGGTAAAATGGTGAATCAATTCAAAACTCGCCGATGTTAATTTAATTAAAATGTTAATCATTCCAGCAGTGTCGTGACGTAGTGCTTCAACACCACCACCATACCAATAAGCTTGTATTGTATTGTCGCAATTTTCTCTGGTCGATGAAATGAATCGCGGCACGTATAAGTCAACCTGCCGATGTTAAAACATTCAAGTTGCCATCTATTCATGAATAAACTTCTCCCACCAAATTACACACACAACATTTTATACCTAATAACCGTCCACTTAACGTTCTACCTGGTAGACTGAAACAGTTTCATACTACACCTGCACTACCAGTTTTTGAGTCAGAGATTTCAGTCAATTGTCTTCGTCGTCGAAGTGTTTGCTCGACAATATATATAAAACTCGAATTGAAGCAAAATCCGCATCAAATTTCAAAGTGGACCAGTGTCGTATGCACGCGATCGTCAGGTTCGACTGAAGAGAGATACAAAAAAAAATTATAGCAAATGTGACTAATTTACAATTAGAAAGTTTCTCTTTCGATAGCTCAACTCGGAGATTATTTGAAGAAGAAAAAACGTCAAAGATTAATTTGAAGAAAGAAAAACAACTAAAATACATCAGTTACTTCATTATCAAGTGAAAACGACAATATAACGCGACGTTTGCATAGGAGAATGTGGACTTTTTAAATGTGTTTAACAGAGTTGATGAACATTTGTGAATTGTTGCTCTTCGAGTGCGGTGGCTATATTGCTTAAAAGTCAAAAGTTACGAGTGACTTGTGTTGAGAAAGGAGAAAACAAGAAATCAAAATGTTTAAAAAATCGACAAATTTATTCGTTGCGTCAGTGTTTTTGGTGACATTTGTCGATTTTACGATCCAGACAGACCTTTTCGGTAAATTTTTTGATTGATATTTTGAACTGTTTTATTTCTTTTGAATAAAAGCCATTTTACGAACTTATCAATCACGTAGTGATTAGTAAAAACTAATTGAACAGTGAACAAAACTGATCAAAAATGTTATGATCAATTAACAAATCGTTTATATTATGTCTTATCACGTGCAATGGAAATGCTACGCGTCGCTAAGCATGTTCGTAATGAGATCACAATGTGCGATAATTTCTTCTTCGAATTAATTACAACTTATACTTGAGGGAAACAAATGTCTCTTTTTCTCTTCATTAGTCATAGTAGATCGATGAATTTTCTATAAATACACCAACAACATGGCCTCAAGTAAATTCAATAAGTTCGAAGTGATTATTGGAATTTAAAAGTCAGGAAAAAAAGAAGAAATAAAAAAAACTGGTTTTGCGTCGTATAAAATAAAGTTGTCGCTCCAGTAAAATGGTTGTTATTGTCGTTATTGTGAATATTCTACACGACGCATTTTCAAAACACACACGAATTCACTGTGCTGATATGCCAATGGGTGTACGATTTTTTGTTCTTCTCTATTTCTTTGGTGTTCCACGATTGAAATAAATCGAAAACATCTTAGGAGGTTTCGCTCCATTTCACATGTCGAACATTTCAATTTAAAAATTCTTGCTTTTGAAACAGTCGTGTAGATAGCTCTTGACGCAAATGTTAATCGAAATGGCATTGACTTTAGCAAGCGAAACAATTTGGCAAAAAATATTCCATGATATCGGAATTTTAATGTATTTATCGTCCAAAGTTCAACTCTGCAATTCCCCGAGTTGCGGTTTCAATAATGATACGTTTATCAACCAGACAACAGAAAGAAAAAAATAAACACAAAAATAGCTGATTTCACGCATAAGTCAAGATAAATTCGAATCGAGGGGAGAAAAACATCACAAAGCTTTTACAAAATTAAATAATATGGACAGACACATAACGCGATTCAACGATTCTGAGAAAAATGTACGAGAATTCTTTGTTAATAGGAAACAATACGACGAAATGAAATACGTTTTGAAATGACGCATGAATTCATTGGAAATGCCGACGAATATGACGGCGAAACAACATACCACTGTTCAAAATTTGATATTGTTTTATTTATCGCTAAGCAATCCATGATTTTATTAACATTTTGACACAAATGGTGAAATTAATGTGTTTTTCTCGATATTTTCTTCTTATTGTTTACTCCAGAGGGAAGTGTATGTCATCTTCACACCGGCGAAATGGGCGTTTGCAAAAATGCCGAAAGTTGCAAGTGGCTGATACAAAATTTGAATAAGAAAAAAATGAAATTCAGTGACATTCGACGATGCTCGTTTGCGGTAAATGAACGATTCCGATTCCAAACATGTCTCTCACTCAATAAAATAATTATCAAGTTGAATTGCATTGTTTTGCTTCGTTGCAGGATCGTATTGGTGAGATTGTATGCTGTGGTGATGAGCATCCGCCAAAACCAGTCGAAAAACCGGCAGCACCATGTGAATTAGGGTATCTTTTCGAGTAAATAACTTGAATTTCAACTGAGAAATTCGAAAATTGCGCAAGAAAACTAACATGAATGTATTTTTTTTTTTGCAACAGTAGCTACAACTGTGGCGAACCAACTTCCCCTCCACCACCGATTATTGTGCCGAATAAATTCAGCGGATCAAAGGCGACAGCCGCCTGTGCGAGATATTCAGCTGTAGCAACTCCTTACAGCAACTGGAATATAATCAATGGAATCCCCGTTGGGCAAGGTGAATTCCCACACATGGTGGCATTGGGTTATCGAAACCGCGACTCAGCCGAATATGACTTTGATTGTGGCGGCACTCTTATCGCTGAACAATGGGTTGTCACAGCGGCGCACTGCATTAAAGATCGACGAAAACCAGTGATGATTCGAATGGGAAAGGTTTGTTTGTGACAATTACAAAAATCGATGCATATATTTTTTAAATATTTTATTCAAATCGTAATTGATTCTTCATACAGCTAGTTTTGCACGATGATGCAGATGGTTTGACTCCAATCGATCGTCCAATCAAACAGATTATACGTCATCCACAATATTCATCAATTCGAAAGAAGAACGACATTGCATTGATTGAATTTGAAGGAACGATTGATTTAAATGATCTTGCACGACCCGCATGCATTCGAACTGATCCGGCTGATCCACCAGAATATCAAGAATTAATCATTACGGGTTGGGGATCGATTGAAGCGGACAGTAAGTGGGAAATAATTAGTTTAAAAAAATCGTTGCAACGAAATTTCATGTTCCTCAGAAGAAAAGTCTTTTAGAGCTTGTAAAAAAAATCATTAAAAACAACTTTTTCCATAGGAACAAATCGATCTGAACTTATGCTAAAGGCGAACGTGACGACAATCCCACTGCATACCTGCAATCGAACATTGGTCGAATTCAATCGACTCTCGAATCAACCCGCTCTACGGGATTTGAGCAACACACAAATGTGTGCATTAAATGCGGCGGAAAAACGCGATGCATGTCAGGTAAATAAAAGTCCATTTCAAGTATATTTATCCTGTTAGGAGAGATATGTTGACAAAGTTTTTGTGATTTTTCTCCATTGGCAGGGTGACAGTGGGGGCCCATTATTCTTGAACGAAGCACAAACTGGCGTATCGACCGTCGTCGGGATCGTTTCATTCGGCGTGAGTTGTGGTACTCAATTGCCTGGCGTATACACGCGCATTGCATCTTTCGTTGATTGGATAGAGAATTATGTGTGGCCATAGAGAGATATTACAAAAATTTACCTTGTAATCAAATAATGTGTGATATTGAATTCAACTCGTCGTCAATTCATTTCCATTTAGTCTTGATATGATCTTATTAGATTTAGAGATTATCTTTTAAACAGACTTTTGTAATTTTACATGAGTTTATAAAGATTCAATTGAAATTTTTGTATTCGAAAAAAGCAAACTTTTGAAATAATTTATTTTATGGAATTAGCTTAAAACATATGCGTAATTTGTACGAAAATCATAAAAATGTAAAATAAAACAGCGAAACAAATAAATAAAAAAAAATGTTGTAGAGTGAAAGAAACTTGTTTGTTGTAATTGATTTTATGGTTTTATACTATTTCGCAATCGTTTGTAAATCAATGAAAACCGCAAGACGTCATGCATGGACATGTGATTAAGACTGCAAAGATTTATTATGTATCGGCCACTTTGATGTTCCAAAAAGCGAAAAAAGGATGAGCAAAATCAATTTTCGACTCATGTTATAACCCATGATAAGAGCAGCTGTTGTTATCAATTCCAACACAAATTTTCGATATCGAACCTAGTGATAAGAATTGCTATAAATACTAACATTGCAACCCTGCCTTAAATCAGTTGTAGTTTGAATGAAGAGACCTTAAAAAAAATGGCACGTCTAACTCTTCTAACGATAGGTTTGGCAGCTTTTTGTGCCTTCAACGGTGTGAATTGTGACGGATTTGTTCAAACATTGGAATTGAGTAATATTGATGGGGGCTTTGATATAACTGCTAGCAGAGCCCTAGTTAACTTGACCAAAACCGTTGGGAACGCTAAGAACTTGGGAGTTCAAGATTCTAATGCAAAGTTCACTCCAAGATTTGCATTGCAACCACGTCAAGTTGTTACAAACCGAGCGACAATTACATACAGACTTGGCCAACGAATCAA